TTCCTGCGGCTGGAAGCAGCCTGTAACAAGCATGAAATCTGACTTTGCAGACTGGGGGTTTTTTGCCGTTCGAACATGTATCCAAGGACAGTCCGGCAGAAATGTACCGCTCGGGGTCGGGCAACTTTTGACACCAGTTAAGTGTTGATCAAAGAGGCGGTTTAAGTGGCAGTCCAGTAATGCAATTGATGCCTTGAAACTTTTAAGCTCCTTAGAGGGAGCTGGGAGGGGCCGGAGGTCAAGCCGAGATGGCTGGATGTGCATTATCTCTCCCAGACTAGCTTGTCTCCCCTTTTAGAGCCTCGGATTCCAAGCCAGATGGGAGCTCAGTAGGAAACCCCATTATCTGGAGAGCCAAGTCGGTTAGAGGTGGGAAAACACTAGGGAGACTAGACGGCACTTCTGTCTGCTGCCTGCCACCTCTCCAGAGCTGCGGTCGTCACCGCGGCGGTGAGGACTCCCCGGCTAAAAATGATCACGTCAAACATTAAATTTAGCAAAAGATTTCGCTGCTGCATGTACAAAAAGCGTGTCAGGGACGCCGGGACTAACACACCAGCTCACACTCGTAGTCAGTCTGTCTTGGCCCTCTGTCCCGTCTCCAGTAACTTCAGAGCAGGGTGCATAATGGGGTACACTGCTCCTGTGAGCCCGGGGCTGGCCCATGTCCGAGCATGAGAGCTTTTCTCCCATTTATCATTTTCAGTCTATCCAATATAAGTGTGGAAGTTTTTATTATCTGTATAAATGTCAACTCCCCTTTGGAATCGTGTGAAGCCGCCATACTGTCAAGTGGCAGTGAGTTCCGCCGGCTGCGCCGACATTGGGAAGAACAGATAAAGTCTTACGCTTCACCAGTTTGTAATTCATTGCCTTTTGAGAGTGAGTTCCTTTGCTGGGAGAAGGGAAACAGGAGAAAACCAGGCGTACTTCTCCCTTCGGCAAAAAGCCAGAGCAAATGCTTTTCGGGCACGCTCGCCCTCAGCAGTAGCTTTGCAAGTAGCAGTTTTAAAGGAAAGTTGCACCCTGCTCTCGCCCGCGTAGGGACCCTCCGCTCATGAGCAGCGTCCCTGGAGAGTCTGCAGGCTGCCTGATATTCGCCCGCATTTCAGGTTGAAAGTGAAATCATCTGGGGGAGGGGAGACTCACCCTGCACTGCAGGGCATCAGACTGTCAGTGCCAGTGTGGTAGCACGCGACAAGGGCGGCTGTTCCTATGTTGCGGTGGGGGCTGGCCGTAGCAGGTTCCAGCTGCAATCACGGCCTGTTTGTGTCAGGTGCTGCACAGACCCAGAATGAGAGTCCCAGTCCCTATGACCCCATGTCTGCTGGGTGCTCAGAGGCCCCGGGGGGTAACGAGTTTGGAAGGCCTCAGCCTGTTGGCACCGGCTGTGCGCATCACAAAAACCGCACAACGGGCTCCCTTTCCAAATCTTTCCAAATGCACAGCACACAAACCCCCCAAACAAAATCACATTTTCCGAGGGTCTGTCTCCCAGCGCGGGCGCTCCGTCCGGGGGATCCAGCCCCATGACATGAGAGCAGCCCCACATTTCTGTCCTGCTTGAATGTGGAGCCTTGAAATCCAATTGCTAATGACTGAACAGAAACAGGGTCCTCTGGAGAGTATGGAACCCCCCGCTCCCAGGCGCGAGACAAAGCTATAATGCCCACTCAGCCGTTGCCATAGAAGGAAAATCTGTGTGCTAAGCCCAAGCTGCTATTTATAGGAGAATTCAGGAGGGGTTACAAACAGATCAATGATTTTTCAGGCTAATGCCCTCCGCAAATATCTCCTCCGCACCCAGCTCTGGTGCGACGCCTGTAAGAAATCAGCTGATACCAGTTTGGGTTGGGGGGGCAGGTGGGGGACGCTGGCCCACATTGGTTTAAATATTGCAATGACATGTATGTCTAATAACATTGCACCCGCCTGACCATCTCCTGCCTCCACCCACGCCTCTTCTAACACCGCCGTGTTTCTCTTTCTCCCTCCTTTGTGTTTCTTCCAGCTGCAACTCCTCCTAACATGGTGGACAGGCCCTGCTTGAAGCTGAAGGTGTATGTGCGACCCACAAGTAAGTAGCTCCCGGGCGTGGCCCGCGACCAAGTGAGGATGCTGGGGATGCGGGCGAGGAGAACTTGTTCTGCAGAGCTTAGACCACAGGGACTCGCCACATGGAGCCAGGCCCAGAACCAGCCGCGGTTCCAGTCCTAGAGCCAAATGCAAATATTCGTGGGCTTCCCCATACGGTGCTAGGACAAGGGTGGGAATCAGGCAAACCGTCATGCCCATGGCCATGTGGAGCTCTGGGAGGTTGGGGATTTTACGAATTAAATTTCCCTTCAAGGACAACGGCTTCAGTGAAGGGGGAAAAGATTTGGCCAAGCCCCATGCGAGAGGCAGAGCTGAGCCAAACGCTTGGATCTCAACAGCCTTAAACTTTCAAAAGTTCGGACCCAGACCCAACCTGTGGGGCTCTGCCCCGTGTCACCCCACAATCACCATCGGCTCCTCCAGTGGCAGACCCAACCTGTGGGGCTCTGCCCCGCATCACCCCACAATCACCATTGGCTCCTCCAGTCTCCTCCAGTTTGGCCTGTGCTCGTTGCATAGGCAGGGGGCTGTCAAATGATCCAAGCCAGGACATAGGGAGACCCCCCTGCAGTGACATTGGGCAGCACATGTGGAGGTAGAGTGGTCTGTGTCCAGCACCCTGGATAAAAGAACCCCCTCTACAGTCACTGCGCCCGTCCATTCCCTGCCCTGAGAGACGGTGCAGGGTGCGTGTTGCTAGCTGTAGGGTTTTGCTCCCAGGGAGATGTTATACCAGCACAGAAACGCATTCAGGAAACACTTCCGAGGATCCCGAGAAGAGTCTCGTTAACCTCTGATGCATGGGGAGAATTCCAGATCCACTGATGTGAGTCTGCGCCGGCAAAGAAAATCGATGCACGGTACGTGAATTGCATAGCTGGAGCCGGCGCACCTTGCATCGATTTTCTGGGGTAGCCCCACAGCGGGAGGTTGACCGGAGAAACACTCCCATCGACTTCCCTTACTCCTCGCCGCAGGTGCCCTCAGCATTCGATTGAGCTGGTCTTTACTAGACTTGCTCAATCGCACCCCGGAGCCGCAGGTGCCCTCAGCATTCGATTGAGCTGGTCTTTACTAGACTTGCTCAATCGAACCCCGGAGGATCGATTGCCAGAGCGTTGATCCTCCAGCCCGTGCTGATTTTCGTGCTGAGATCCTCCAGTGCTGATTTTGGTGGACTTACTCTGGATGACACAAGCGGAGGAGTTTGGGACCGTGTGCTGCGTCTCCCTAGGTGCAGAGGGTGCCTTGTTGTGCATTTGTTTGCTCTTCCTGCTTTAATTTGCAATGCACAAAAATAAAAACATCCCGTGGCTCTTCAAGCCATCCCCATCTCTCGAACTTGTGCCCACGGGTCATCCGGCTGCAGTGTTAAAACCCCCCTTTCCACCTGCTATTGTAATAGCCCTGAAAGCGCGCTGACGTCAGCCTTGTGCCAGGATCGTTGTGTGGGAAGAACACACCGCATGGGCTCCCCTCCTAGCTGAAGGGCACCTGAATTCGCAACACACCAGCCTTGCCAAAGTCGGCGAGAGACTGCATGGTCCCTAGATTCATGCCAAGCATATAACCTGCAAGAGGGATGCTTGCCACTGAGTTTCAAATGAGGGGAAAAAACCCAATAATCTCGGCACAGTGGCCGCTTTTCAGAACCGAATAACTCAGGCGTTTAAAAAAACCCCAAATGAATAATTTGCGCCTCCGGTTCTCATGTCATTAGTGTGCAGCAGCGGCTGGGAACGAAGGATCGGCTACACTGGTAAAAAGGACGCGGCTTCTTTTTGTCATCACAATGAAACTCCGAATAATGAAACCGCTTTAAAACACGGTCTAGGTCTTGGGCAACTTTTGCCGATCGAAAAAAAACGCTGCCACTCGGCCTCTCCGGCTGAGCTCAGGGACCGCGCCGGCGGAGGGGCTGTACCTAGAAAACCCCCATTGATGTCGGCGCGTTTGGGGTGAGACCCTAAATCAACCTGTTATTTATTGTTCAGCATCAGATGAGGGTCTGATATGCCAACTTGTGTCACGGGAGCTGGTCTATATTTTCAAAAGTCTTCATTAGCATCGGTCCGACAAGTACCCGGTCCTTTTTTTCCCACTGGTATAAATAACCTGGTTTCTGTTATTTCCACTCCACTGCATCATCCTGGGAAGGGGATTTTCCCCACGAAAGCTCCTAAGCCTCCGTACTTCAGTTAGTCTCTCAGGTGCCACGAGACTACTCGTTTTCGAATGCTTCTGTTTTCTGGACGTGCGACCCGAGACAGGGCGTGCTCCTGATTTTGCAGAGCTGCCAAGTTCTTGAACGCTCTCACATGCGCCCGTTGATCTCAAGTGTTGCGGGCGCTCGGCGTGGCACCCGTACTAGGCTGCTCAAAACCATCCGTGGCTGAGCGGGCGTGTGCAGGGCAACGGGGCATACTCCGCGCCTCACGGGCCCAGCCCCCCGTGGTACGCTGCTGGGAGTTATTTCCACTGCAGGCTCTCGGAGGCAGAACCTGTTACAATGGATCTGGGCAGCACCTTGCACTGGGATCTTGCACGGAGCCTCGAGGCGTGACACGTGTGTAGCCCACTGCCAAAGAGCAGCAGCCGAGGAAGAAGAGCAGAAGAAAAGACGCAGGAGAGGGAAGGAAATTGGACAGGCAGGAGCAAGAGAAAATCGCGCCAACGGCCAGGAGAAAGCTTGCTTTTCCTGGCTTCGTGTCTGTAAGATCCTTAATCCAGCAATAAACATAAGAGAGCAGAGGCCAGGGACCATGTTAACAGCGTTAGTCGCAATTTAACTTATTCCCTTGAATGCCCTTTGCTTTGCTTGCTGCTTAGGGTTTTGGACGCTGGATTATTGGATTGTTATTAAGCAATTGCCCTTTGACTTCCCAAACCTGGGTCCATCTCCAGGTCTGGCCAGAGTGACAGAGTCTCCCAGGCTTCTTACAAGTTGGCAACAGTGGTCGGATCTAATCCGCCTCGCACAATGCCACCCGCATATTTGGTAACCTCGGCTGTCAGGGACAGGCTTAGGAGAGAATTGGGCTGAAATGCCTCCTAATCCCGTTTACAGAGCAAGAACCGTACCCCCTATCCCGGGGTCAGCGTGGGGAGTGCCCCGCGCCCTCTCCCATAGTGCACAGCCGCTGAGAACAAGAGCAGATAAGAGCCCGTCCCGGGATTCACCCCCCAAGAATTCTCCTCCCTACGTCCTGTTCGCTTAGCTGCAGTTTATACTACAAGAAAACACGTGTGAAATACAGACAGACGCACAGAAAGGGACCCGTCACAGCGCGTGTGAGATACAGGCAGACGCATGGCCAGTGACGTGTCACAACGCGTGTGAGATACAGACAGATGCACGGCCAAGGACCCATCACAGCGCATGTGAAATACAGACAGATGCACAGCCAGCAAGGCGTCACAGTGCGTGTGAAATACAGACAGACGCATGGCCAGGGACGCGTCACAGCATGTGTGAAACACAGACAGACGCACGGCTAGGGATGCATTACGGTGGGTGTGAAATACAGGCAGAAGCATGGTCAGGGACGCGTCACGACGTGTGAAATATAGACAGATGCACGGCCAGGGATGCATCACAGTGGATGTGAAATACAGACAGACACACGGCTGGGGACGCGTCACAGCGCGTGTGAAATACAGACAGACACACGGCTGGGGACGCATCACAGCGCGTGTGAAATACAGACAGACGCACGGAGAGAGATAATGGGACTCAGAGAAATGTCAGGCTGGAAAGGGCCTCCAGAGGTCGTCTAGTTCTGCCTCTTGTGCTGAGACAGGACTGAATATCCTTAGCCCATCCCTAAGGAGCATCCGTCTAATGCATTCTCATCTCCTCCGGTGATGGGGATTCCACAACCGCCCTAGTAACCTCTTCCAGTACTTCCTCTTCCGTGCAGTTAGCGAGTTTCCCCTAATGTCTGATTGAAATCTCCCTTGTTGCACATGATTCTGGGCATGGTGAAGATGCCTGTTGACTGATGACCATCCACCCTCCACCTCCCCCCCTCCAGACTTACCATGCCCAGTTCTCTCAGCCTGCCCTCCTCGGATAGGTCTTCTCACCTGCCCGTCATTTTTGTCGCTCTCCTCTGGACTCTGCAGTTCACTCACCTCTCGCCTGCAGCACGGCACAGAGCTGGCTACCCCGCTCCAGCTGCAGCCTGGCCAGTGGGAGAGGGCTGCCGGGTGTCTTGCGAAGTTGCAGGCTGCCCGGGGCCTGGCTTTTTTTCCTCTCTCCAAACTGACAGTCCAAAACCCAAGACCCCGTTGGACAGCTCCGGGTCCCAGCCAGCTTGGGAACCCCACCGTCGGCCTCCAACCCCGCGGGACGCCCTGCAGGCAGGCAGATAGTCCCGGAGGGCTGTCGGCCAGGTGGGAACGAAGCAGAACAAAACCACCCTGCCCTCTGCCCCTCGAGAACATCGACCCACAAAGCCAGAAGCAGCGCCTAAGGTTGCCAACTGTCAGTACATTTATGGACAGTCTCTAAAAAATTAGCCGAAATTGGCCATGTCCGTGAAGTCCGTAAAAAAATTTAGGTGTCCGTAAACTTCGTAAAAGTGCAATAAAATTTCAAAACGTGGCAATTATTCTATAGCAATTCAATTTCTTCTGTGCTGCTTCAGACATTTCACTGCGGAGCAGTGGAAATTGGGCGGTTTAGTTGGTTATTTAGCTCAGTGGTTGAGGTGACGTTGTGTGAATCACGTGATCCAGGACCATGACTCACGAAATGAAAGTGAGTTAAATAGCACAGTGGTGTAGGAATGACACTGGTTACTCTTCACTTTTGGCCAGTTATGTCGTCTTGCTATCGTATAAAAAGGATGTCCGGGAAAAAATGTGTCTGTCCGTAAATATTTCCCATTTTGTCCGTAAATGAAATTTCTGAGGGTTGGCAACTCTGGCAGTTTTATCCCTGCCCAGCAGGTATTTTCATTTCCCAACATCCCCTCTGCAGGCTGTTCTGACTTTCCCACTTTCACTGGTTGCAGGCAGCCTCCGAACTCAGGGCGTGAGCCAGCCGGGCCGGGCGCTGGTTAGCCAGTGACCCGGGTAAGCGTGCCACTAAGGCAATGGTGAAACCATTACATCCCTCGACTCCTTCTGCAAGGGCTTGTGTTTGTCTTGGCACTAGGGGTTCCTCTGACACCCGGCGGGGCTGCCCGAGGAGGAGTGCGTGGCTGCTTTGCTAGCACCCGTCTTCAGACGGCACCGTGGCCTCTAGTCGAAACCCTGACGAGGAGATTGGCAAAGGGCTGGGACTTTTCGGCTTGGAGCAGCGACGACGCGGGGGGGTAGGGCAGAGGTTTGGATGACCGTGACTGGGGTGGAGACGGTGATCAGGCCGTGTGATTTACTCCTTCCCGTAACGGAAGGGCCAGGTGCCATGCAACGAAATTAACAGGCAGCGGGTTGAACCGAGCCCTCCTCACGCTGCACCGTAAACCCGCACAGCGCTTTGCCAGGGGCATTGTGAAGCCAGAGGCGCGACGGGGTCCAGAACGGAGTTAGAACCGCTCCCCGCAGATAGCCCCTCCCGGGGCTGCCGGCCAGGAGACGGCTTGGACGTCCCTACGCTTTCGACAGCCAGAGACTGGACTGCACAACGGGAGGAGCCATGCGCTAATTGCCTCGTTCTGTTAATTGCTTCCTGTAGCCTGATCTAAGATTATGTTAAATTCTAATTACCCGCCGTAGGGTTAACAGGTTCTCTGTCCCAGGATCAGGCCCAGTATTCAATTATACTGTGATTGGGAACCCTGATGTGCACGTTACAACACTCACAATATAGACACTCTTGTGTATTTCCAATATTGACAGTGTATTAATAAAGCTGGCACAGTCACAAACCCCTCAATTTCGTAAGACAGAGAATGGCCATTCATATTTCCTGACCATCTACTGACATCGCTCCTTCTAGCACAATCTTAGGTGTTAGCCCATCATCTTTCTCGTTACTTTCACCTTCTCCATCATCCCCAGGGACCATCCTTCTGGCCCTTCCAAGGACGATATCTTCTGCTCCCCATCCACCCTTGGCTGACATCCCACTTTTATACCCAGCGGGGTTAATGGCAAAGTCCGCCCCCAAGGAGTTGAGTGCTGCTGTGTTAGTATTAGTGGCCTTCACACCCTTGGGCAGACGTAAGACCTAGTGTGTTACACCTGAACCCAGACATCAGTCAAGCTAACACAAAGGACCTACAGGAATGCTGAGGGCAGCTTGGAGAAGATTTTTTGCATTACAGCTTTTCACTATCACCAAATTAATCGAAATGAACGCAAACCTATTGTGATCATGATAGGAAAGCAACTTGATAGGCTACAATGTGGGATTCGTGGGCGGCGGTTCCTTGGGTGCTGCAGGGGTGGAGCTCGGCACCTCCTGCCTGCTGCCACCAGCTGTTTGGGAGCATTCTAGAGGCTGGGCGGAGGGAGGGGCAGAACTGAGCAGGGAGTGGGCGGAGCAAGGGTGGGAAGAGGCGGGGCTTAGGCGGCATGGTGGGCGTGGCCTGAGGCAGAAGTCAGGTTTCACCTCCGAGGTGCTGCAGAACCTGCTTGCTGGGGAATTAAGCCACGAGGAAGGCCCCAAACACGTGGTCCAAGGCGTGGAAGGAGCCGTCAGTGTGCAGTGACACCGCCCAGGTGCACAGGAGAGCCGGTCCCAACCAGAGTGATCACCTTGTCGTCAGACAAGGCCCCTGGGATGTGGCATCTTTATAAAAGGCCAAGTGACTCACCCGCTTATGCGTTCCCTAGATCAGAGCCGGCGCTGGTTCCTGGACTGGCGCTTGCCAGCAACACATTTGCAGCTCCCTTGGTTTTCTGGTTCCGGGGGTCACGTTTTACCCCTTTATTCGTGCTCAATCGATCCCCCTTGGCCAGACAGAGCGAGAGGTTATGGCTGGCCTGACCCCGGACCCTGGGCCTTCCCTGACTCGGTTCCTGTGTGGTAAGAGGCCAGTGTGGTAAATTACTCCTCGAAACTCTGCCTCCAGGGGTCCTATGATGGCATACGCATTTTGGCTCTTCATTCCCCAAATGAAGTGAAGCAGCAATCCCAGTCCCCCTCTCTAGCTTCGGGTCCCGCTGTTTGGTTTGAAATAAAGGACCAAAATTCCCCGGCGGGGAGGAGAAAGTCTGAAGACGCGCCCCGTGAAGTTTCAAACACCGGAGGGCGAATTTTAAAAAGAGCCCAACCCACGTTTGGCTTTTTTAAGTCGTTTAAGCCACTCTTGGCACGTCCGAAGGCCTCACGCTCCATGTTCGACTGCGAGAGGCTGGCCGCGTTCTTGCTCTTTAGCCTAATCACGTCCCCCGACTGTGGGGGTGTTTCTGTTCCCTTTGTTTGTGTCTCTGTGGCTACAATAAATCATGTAAAACAAAGACCAACAATAGCTTACCCAAGGAAGCCAGGGGAAAGCGGCAGGTGAATGTGGAAGAACCCACTGAAATAAAATCCAAAAGGAAAACCGATCAAGGTTTAAGCAGTTCAGTGAAGAACATCAGAACGGCCAGACTGGGTGAGGCTAAAGATCCATGTAGCCAAGGGTCCTGTCTGCCAAGAGTGGCCAATGCCAGTTAGTTTAGTTTCCCACAATGGAGATGACCCAGAACACCGTGGCTACGTCTACACTGGCATGATTTTCCGAGGATGCTTTTCCGTCATTTTCGCAATCGGGGCTTTTTTGCGGAAAACACGACTGTGCTGTCGACACTGGCCCTTTTGCGCAAAAGTCTTTCGGAAAAAGACTTTTGCCCGCACGGGAGCAGCATAGTATTTCCGGAAAAGCACTGACGCTCTTACATGAGATGGTCAGTGTTCTTGCGGAAATTCAAGCGGCCAGTGTAGACAGCTGGCAAGTTTTTCCGCAAAAGCAGATGATTTTGCGGAAAAGCTTTCCAGTCTAGACACAGCCCATGCGTCTCTAGGAGATGACAGAATCGGTTGGGAAAGAAATTTGATGCACCCAAGAAGAAAGGGTTAGAAACTGGAGGTTTGCTCTGCACACAGCGAGCGACTGACCTGCCAAGAAGGAAGTCACGTCTCTGATTATGCACATTAATGACACTAAACATTTCTCCACCTCTTTCCTGCAATGTGCCTGCTACAGAGGCAGCAGCGTGGAGTTGCAGAGGGCTCCTCGGGGGTGGAGCCAGAGTGCGCTGGCTGCCGACCCCACCTCCGGGGACTCTAGACTAGTCGACTAACCGATAAGAATTCTCGAGGTTAATCGACTCTTCCATTAACCGCTATTGAACATCCCTAATTTAAACACCCTCGGGAAGCACCATTCTCACCATGCTGGCTGGGAGAAAAGTGTACATGTGGCTCCCCGCCACGCCCCCGCGAAGGCAAATAAACCCCAGAGCGCACGTGGGAAAAGAAGCCAATAGTTGCAATAGTTGACTTTTAAGTCAATTGTGATTTTTTGGGGGGAGGGAGGGGGTCTGACTCGCGATTTCCAACCCCCTGGGGCTGACAGTTCTGATCCTGGGAGAGACCCAACCAATTCTCCGCGGTGCTAAGCTTCCCGGGGGTGTTCTGACGTGTCTCTCTTTTCCTCCCCCTTCCCAGATGACTCCCTGTACGAATCTCCGGAGCCTATTTTCACCAGCAACAACTCGTGTTGCAGCCTCCGGGTCCCACACGTCGTCCTGGTGGTGGTGCCCGTGTTTTGGACCATTCTCAGCTCCTAGCCCCGAGAGGAGAAAGCAAAGGAAGAGGTGAGCGGAGCCGGGCGAGGGGGAGAGACAGACGCCCGCTGGAGAAGAGACGCGCTCTGCCTGCCTTGGGGGGAACGGACCCTCTTGGGCCAGCCTTTTGCTTTGTTTTTAAAACAATTGTCTCTTTCGCAAGAACCTTTGAACTGCATCACCTGGGCGGGGCGGCGAGGTTGGGCAAGGGATGCAAAGAAGGATTTTTTTTCCTCTAGCCCAGCCTCTAGCTCGGAGAATTGCTGGTCGTGGCACGGAGTCACTTGGAAGAAGGCTGCAACGTTTCCGACGAGGTACAAAATAACACCCCCGCCGTGCACCCCAGCAGTCTGGTTTTGGGGAGGGGGTATCGACAAAACGACGGTGGATAAGAGCAGCGTGGGCTCCGCGCTGGATTCTTGCTGCCGGGACGGCCACTTTTCCTGGTGCCGGGGCTCAGCTCGCTTTGATCCTCCTTGTAGGATTTTGCTTTTTAAATTTCTAGACCAAATATTAGAGGCTCCCCTCCCCCGCCCTCACCCTTTTTTTGGTTGTTTTTGGTTTCGTGCTTTTCTTGCACTTCTGGAGACTCAGCTGCAAAACGAGACACCCTCCCCCGTCAGAAATCTCCTTGAGCAGCATTCCCGGACGACCCGTCAAGGCATTGCAGGATCACTATGGGGCTTGGGTTTTCCTTCCGGGGCTCCCTCCCCGTCCCCAAACTGGGGATTCGGTGGCTGGCAAACGACCGAAGTGCCCGGACTCTGGGACATGCTGGGTCCGGGACAAGAACTGCAGCGCTCTCGGCTGGTTTGCTTTGGAGTCTGAACTAGCCCAGCTGTTGACCGTTGCTGGCTTGTAGTTTGCAGGCAGGGGGGCCAGATGCAAACATGCCTGTCCCTGCCCCCAGGCTCTGGGGCGGAGCGCTGGCCTGGGACAGTGGCCAGATCCTTGCGGGACGACGGTACCATTTTCGTGGCTTGGTGGGTTGTTTCTTCGGTGGGCGTGGGAGGGGGGTTGTTGGTTTTGTGGGGGAGGGATGGGCAGGGCTGCCAATAAGCCAGCAAAGGTAATTGAGCAACTGACATCAGTGGAGAAGCAAAGGGCAACGCTGGCGGGGAGGGGGGGAGGGAGATGTGGGGAGGGGCCTTCGCCACTGAGAGCAGGATCAAAACTCTGGTTTGGGGAAGGGGCCGCTGGGGTGGGGCAATGGCAGGAATGTGAGCGTAGAATCCCAGGATCCCAGGGAGGGCAGAGACCTCAGGAGCCATCGAGTCCAGCCCCCTGCCCAAGGCAGGACCAGCCCAACTCAACCCTCCCAGCCAGGGACGTAAACACCTCTAGGGACGGAGACTCCACCCCCTCCCTCGGGAACCCAGCCCAGCGCTTCCCCGCCCGCCCAGGGGAATCGTTTTTCCTAATCTCCAACCTAGACCTCCCCCCCGCGACTCAGACCCATTGCTCCTCCTGCCACCACTGAGACCAGCCTCTCTCCAGCCTCCTTGGAACCCCCTTCAGGGAGTTGCAGGCTGCTACCAAATCCCCCCTCACTCTGCTCTTCTGCAGACTGAACAAGCCCCGATCCCTCAGCCGCCCCTCGTAGGTCGTGTGCTCCAGCCCCCGAATCATTTGTGTTGCTCCTCTGACTTAACGTCGGTTTATGCCAGGCGAGGATTTTTACTGGGGGCCCTTCCTCCTCGCATCTAGCGTGGCTCCTGACGGGTTTTTAATCCGTTCCCAGCACTGAGGGCAGCTTTCCCCTCCCCCCTCCCTGCTTCCCCCAAACCACGTGGCAAATGCAGGGCCCCGTCTTACATAACCCCCCCGATCCCAACACGGATCCACGCCACCGGCGCTGCCCTTCGAATTCCCCCTCCGGTGGCCGCGGCGAGAGCAGCCCCATCGGTCTTGTTCTCAGCGCTGCTCCGCCGCCAGATTGCTAATCAGGCTGAGCCGGCAGGAGAGAAGAAGGGCAGAGCAGAGGGGGCAGATCTCTGGAGTTTTCCCCGGGCGCCCTTCCTTCTCTTTACGAGTCTCGGTCGATCCTGCACGTCCTGATGGCTTGTCCCTCGGTCGCACGGTGCCTGGCTTGGAATAGCCACTGGCTTGGCTTCCGTTCCTTCCTCC